TTAAATGTGCCTGTAACTTAATATGAATTCTCAGCAAAAACAGTAAGCACCCACAACTGCTCAGCTTACCTCCCAAGATCGTTTTAAAAGTCTAATTAAATAACAACCACACTTCTGCTTCCATTTCCTCCCTACAACTCTTTCCATGTCTTTATATTACCTCCTAAAAATGATGATGCAGTCTTACTTTCGTTAAACATATGACTTCGTATATGAGATAGAGAAAATCATGTAACACCATTTTGTTGTTTGGGTGTATATGATTTTAGATTTGACCACTCTGTATTGGATAACCAATTAAAGGATTCATACATGATGGAAAGTACTTTCTCTCTTAATGATAGTCTACATTTCTTTTTCTAGGGGTGGGACCCCATGAGATCTAGTTGTTACCAATGTTAGTATTGCCATTGTACTCATCTCTGCAGCCATATTGTTCACATATTACATTCATTCCTTCTTTATTATACCAGACATCATGGTATTCTCGTTCTTGTGATCATGCCACTATTCCAGGATATTCCCTCAGACTCAGGTTCAGATGTTGTCCTGTAGCTGTATTAAGTGGGCCTGGGATCCAGCCATTAGTTACTCTCTACATCATGAACAAATGTGGCTTACTTGAAATGTGTGTTTTCTCCAAAGAGATTATTTAAATGAAGTTATTTTTGTGAGTATACATCTGTTTAAAAACTCAGGAATTATGCTGGCCTGGTAAGGTGGGAGTAGCAAGTTCTCTAAAATCAATGATCTGACAAAGCTAATTATTGGTTAGGGTTTTAGTTCCAGGCATGTCATCCCTCCTGTTGGGTAGGTCTTATATCCAATTATACACTCGCTGGCTACCAAGAGACTTGGATGACATTACTGAACCTATACTAGTATCTTGCCAGGTTGATCATTATTTATGTTTATACTTTCCAATGGGTGTAATGAGACTTCCTAAACAACTCAACTCTTGAAAGATACATTTCTAGACACCCATGGCTCCAGAAGTTAGAACCCATGATAATCATTACATTTAATATGGCCACAGATAGGAAAGAAAGCACAGTAATGGGAAAGAGGAAAGAGCTTACACAAGTATCTAAAATTTGGAGATGGGAGAAAGAACTGGTAACACTGTCAACAATGAAACATCAAAGCAATCCCAGTAACTACCCCTCTCCAACTAGGCCACATCTAATCCTCCACAACTTTTCCACCAACTGGTAACCAAGCATTCAGATATAAAAGCAAATGGGGCCGCGTTCATTCAAACAACTACAGAAGTCACAGTTTGGGAAGTCTATGGACTGATTCTTTCACTTGGCAACTTGCACTGAATCTATTATTAGGGCAGTTAGACTAAATGAAGGTGGTTTCCATGTTACATCCAGCTCATCTTGTCCAAGTATGCATCCAAATTGTGCAATGGTTCCAGCAACTATGACTTACCTTCAACCTCTCAGAGATGACAAAAGATAGAAGAGGACCCTAAATTATTTGGGGAATTACATAGAGAATCACAACTCAAATGAATACTTTTCATGCTTTATAATGGTATTAATGTACAGTATTGGGGAAAGAGGCTGCCCAGCTAACTGATATAGCTTCATTTAATATAGATATACAAATACACACTCATATATACATATATATATGTATATATATACATATAGTACATATATCTCTAAGTACATAATCCTGCATTCATAGTACATTAGATATTATGTATTATACATATTATTAAAATGAATTATATATTATAATTAGTATTATATAATACACTTTGCATGATTTTAAATTGTTTTTCCCCTCTCAAAGGACTTACAGCTAGTCCCCTCTCTATCCTATAACACAATTAACAATGGAACACTATTCAGGAACACAGGAATCTCAAATTGGAAATGGTAGATGGATTAACCAGAAAACAAGTACAATAACCCAGACCCAGAAAGACAAATCTTTCCTCTCTCATTTGCAGTTCTGTACTCCAAAAATTCAGATGTGAGAAGATAACCTGAAGTAGCCGCAGAAACCACATCTTGTCATCCTGGCAAATATGTAAGGCAGAGCAAATCTCCTGTATAGGAATGAATATATAATGCTCAAAGTTTGAATGTACTTCTTTCAAACTGTTTCTAAAATTTTTGGAATACATTCCAGAAAATATTAATTTATTGCTGACATAAGATCCAAGTAAACAGAAAAAGTTTTACAAATTTTACCTCATTAAAAATGACAACCAGCAGGCTGGAGAGATGGGTCAGAGGTTAAGAACACTGGCTGCTTCTACCAGAGATCCTGAGTTCAATTCCCAGCAATCAATCACATGGTGGCTCGCAACCACCTATAATGAGATCTGGCATCAGGCATACATGCAGGTAGACATGTATACATAAGTATATAATACTTTAAAGAAAATAAAAACCAGCCTTCTCATCATTTGGCAATTAATATTTCTTTGGACTGGATTTGGTTCCTCTAAAAGCCCCCAGGTGTTCATGACTTTCTTTATATAGCAACAAAACACAATGTGCAATGCAATTATTAAATGGAAGTGTTATATTGGTCTTGTAGTTACAAAGGGTTGGAGCCTGTGATGGTAGAGCAAAGGCAGGTTGCTTGAAACAAATAGAAACTCGTGTGATAATATACAATCAGGAAGCAGGGAGAATATACTATGAATATTAGTGTTTTTCCAAATCTCAAACTTTCGTAAAGGGACCTATATTCACCAGAAGGCCATAGATCTATTTAATCCTCAACCTGTTCACCAATGGAACCAAGTTTCAAAAAGCCTACTGGACCATTCTCAAGTGGAACATTGCTAACATTGTTTTCAAAGCCACTCCCCTAGACAAAGTCAAGACCAAACAATAAACAAAGCCAGCCAAACAAACAAAAAAAGCAAATCAGGCACTACTGCACATATTGTAATGATTCCATATTTCATATAGTAAAATAATGGGGCTAACAATGCTTTTTCCACATGAAAATATTGTATTTATTAGTTAAGTTTCTATTCCCACAACATATTATTATTATTTACTCATTTTTATTTCTGTGTGTATTCATTTGGAAGTGTGTATGTGACTGTCAGAAGACCTCTTTCAGGAATTGTTTCTCTACTGCCACCATGTAAGATCCAGGAAGGTAACTGAGAGAATCATGTTTTCAGGCAATAAATCATTGCTAGCTGATGCATCTCACAGGCCACTCACATTCATCTTTCACACCTCACAATACCAGCAATTTGACCAATGCAGTGTCACACAGTTAATGGTGGTGCAAGTTCTACACACTACACTTTTCACTGTGAGATCATTATCCAGGGATGTGGGACACACAAAATCAGGAAGACTACTGAAAATGACAATCAATTTAAATTCCATTTATTATAAACACTTGGAAGATTTTCCCACATTTATTCCAAACATAAAGGCTTTCATCGGTGAAATAAATTGTTCAGAATAACAGGAACTATTGCTGCTAAAGAATTTTCCAAATGGATACCCAAGTCTTATAGGATTCTTGAGAACATACCGGCAACAGGAACTGGTGAAGCCTTTGACACAATAATTATATGCATACTTTCACTAAACTTCTTTGCAGTGTCAATTCCTGCATGAGGGTTATAGAAACTTGAAATGGCCAAGGCTTTTACACAATGTTGACATTGAAAAGGTTCCTCACGAGTGTGAGGTTTTTATCCTTGATAAAATCTCAAGAACAAAGAGTTTCCCAAACTGGTACAAAGAAAAGCTTTCTCTCAAGTTTGAGTGTTTTTACTGCCCTTGTGCCAATTGGAACTATGGAAGGCTCCAAATGCTACCAAACACTAGACTACTGACTAGAGTAACACATGTCATCTCTGCTATTACCACCAGAGTGAGTGAAAGGTTTTTTACAATGCTTAAAAGCATAAGACTTCTCTCCAGTGTGAAATCTTCCATGTCTGTGGGGACTACTGGAGTAGTGAAAGCTTTTGCAAATGAATTCCTGTCTTTGGAATGAACTTTTTCACAGTTGGAAAGATCACTAGATGAAATGAACAGTTTCCTATGTTTTATACAAAAATGATTCTCTCCAGTGATGTTTTTCATTCAATATGTGAAAGGGGTAAATGTTTTTATGTAATTTTTACATACATATTACTTCTATATAGTGTGCTTCCTTTCATGAGTGTTAAGACTACTGAAGTCACTGAAGGCTTTTCCACAATGTGGACATGAATATGGCTTCTCTTCAGTGTGAGTCCTTTTATGATATGACCATTGTACTGGCGGAAGGCTTTCCTACAATGCCTGCATACATAAGGCTTCTCTCCACTGTGAATCCTTTCATGTCTGTTCAGATGACTGGAGCGGTTAAAAGCTTTTCCAGAATGCCTACAAACATAAGGCTTCTCTCCATTGTGAATCCTTTGATGTGTATTCAGATAACTGGAAATGGTAAATGATTTTCCACAATGCCTACAAGCATAAGGCTTCTCTCCAGTGTGAACCCTTTCATGTTTCTTCAGATGACTGGAGCATGTAAAGGTTTCTTGACAAATCTTATAAACATAAGGATTCTCTTTTGTATGAGTTACTTTATGCTTTTCAAAACATTTTGCATTTTTAAAAGTTTTGCCACATTGCCTACAATTGTATCTTTTCTGTCCAATATAACTTTTTTCATGGTTGTTAAGGTCATTGGGAGCAATGAAGGATTCTTCACCAAACTTACATACCAACTTTTTAACTTGTTTATGGACTCCTTCGTCGTTCTGAACAAATGTGTATCCCGTCAAGTCATTTTCATGGAGTGTAACTCCAGGGTGAGCTCTCTCCTGAGGCTGATCCAAACTGAGACTCCTACAGCCTTCATTATATTGTTGACTTTCACAGGGTTTCTCTGTGGGAGAAGTTTCAAGTACCTGAAGTGATTCAGAATGATGGGTATCTTCCCAATGTTCCTTTCTTCCATACAGATGGTATCCCTGTAGTTTGCTCTCTGAGATACCCATGTGGGGATGAATGACCAAGGATGTTTCTTACATGCAATGGGCTTTGACATAATCTTTCTCCAGGAGGCATGTCTTTATTGATGACATTATCTGTAATATGTTCCTGGGTCTTATCACACTTATGATCACATCCATATCCATAGTCTTCCTTGATCACTTGAGTTCTGAAAAAAATGAGAAGAAAATTATTGTAGCCAAAAGAAATGCTGTGGTTTGGCTTGTGTGGACCCCTGAAATTATACTATACCAGAGACAACAGAAAAACAGTCACTGTGAGGGACAATGTGGACTACGTGTAAAGACCCTGTCACGACCTTGGAAATCTATGGGGCCTCTTGCAGTGGATCAGCACTTATTGATACCATAGGTGATGGGGAATGTACTGTGTATGTTTATCTTATTGTTAAATAAAATTCTGTTTGGCCAACGAGACAGCAAGTAGACGGGACTAGGAGTCAAAGAGGATTCTGGGAAATGTAGTAGAGAAGTGCTGATCCAGGCAGGAAGTGACATAGCAAGGAGACTCATATTTAAGTGAAGGAGAAACAGGAAGGGTCTCTTTTTCCCCTCCGCTCCTGCTCCAGCGGCAAGATGTGATCCCAGCAAGGAGGGACACCAATAAGGTGTCCGATAAGATAAGTCTTATAAAATATACAGGTTTATGATAGTTAAGACTGAGTTAGCAGATGAGAAGTCCTAGTCATTGGCCAAGAAGCTTTGAACCTAATACAAGTTTCTGTGTATTCATTTGGGCCTAACTTGGGCAGGGGGCTGGCATAAAGCTCACACGTGGCGGTGGGGCTCAGGCAGCATTTGGCAGAAATATTTATCGTAGCACATAAGAATGGACTTCAGGAGCCCATCCCTCACAGAGGGATACTCCCTGAGCCTAGACACAAGGGGTTGGCCTAGGCCCTATCCCAAAGAATATGACAGATTTTGAAGACAACCTATGGAAGGCCTCACCCTCCCTGGGGAGCAGCAGAAAAGGAATGAGATAGGTAGGGCATTAGTTGGGGTTGGGGGGGGAGGAGGGGAAGGAGAGGGATCTGGGATTGGCATGTGAAATAATTTTCTTTCTAATAAAAAAAAGGAGCCGAGTGTGGGTGGTGCACGCCTTTAATCCCAGCACTCGGGAGGCAGAGGCAGGCAGATCTCTGTGAGTTTGAGGCCAGCCTGGTCTCCAGAGCAAGTGCCAGGACAGCCTCCAAAGCTACACAGAGAAACCCTGTCTTGAAAAACCAAAAAAAATAAAAGGAGAAAAAAAAAACCTTTCACATGTAAAGAAGTACAGTGTTGACTTCACTTCTATTAGAATTATGAAGCAGTTGTATCAGATTTGGAGGTTAAAAAAATTTTAGGTCTTCGATGGTCCAGATATTCATGACCAGCACTCATGTTGAGGGCACACCAGTTCCTGTTACTCATGGTCTGAAGGATCTTTTGCCTTCTTCCACTGTTTAGAAAAGATTTTGGCACAAGGGTTGTATACAAACATAGATACACATATACAAGTACAAAACAGTTAATATGCTTCAAAGGATCAAAAGTGAAGGCAAAAGTTCTGCTGTTAGCATAAAATAATTATAATCAAAGTGGTGAAACACTGTGCTATTTTGACATTCAGAATTCTAAGTTAGTGTTGGTTCCTTAGTTATCAACTACACACATCTAGGGCCATCAGAAATGGGTTTCCTCAAATGGAGAAAATGACTCAGATTGGCTTGTAAATGAGTCTGAGGGAGCATTTTACATTCCTGATTGATGAAGGATGCTCACACTATGATGTGCATTGTGGCCATGGGGAAGAGGTCATGAGCTGTGTAGGAAAGGCACCTGCTGGTTACTTTGGTCAAGGTGACACAAACGGGAACACACATCTGAGAGAGGGAACCAGAAAGGAGTCAATGGCTTTTCAGGTGACATTAGGCTTGTCTGTGAGGGCATTTTCTTGATCAGTGATTGAGAAGGTATACCTCAGCCCTCTGTGCGTGGTATCCCCCTAGACAGGTGGGCAAGGGTTGTATAAGGCAGGTAGCTGAGTAAGAGAGGAGGAGCACACCGGTAAACAGCATTTCTCCATCTCCTTTGTTTCAGTTCCTGCCTACAGGTTCCTCACCAGCTGCTGCCCTGACTTCCCTTTATGATAGGACTGAGACAAGGATATGTAACTAAAAATGAGCTCCAGCCCAGAGGTTTTTGTTTTTTTTTTTTTAATAGCAAATGAAAGAAAAAACAAAACAAAACACAGGACTTATGGTAAAACCTCAAAATAATGCATAGAATGTAAATAAATTTGAAGTTGGTGTGTAAAAAACCACTGATACAGCTCATTCAGAGGCTAATGTTACATGACACATGTGTGATCTTAATATAATACAAAGACGAGACACTCAAATATTGAATGGCAAAATTCAATGTTCTATTACACAAATTTGTTTAAAGATTATTATTCAGTTAGTTTTCTTTAGACATTTTGATAGGCACTGAGTTGTCCTATGATTTGCAAATATGTGAAATCAATTCCTTTCTTTTAAATATCAATTACCACGTGCTTCTGCTGAGGTCTTTGCAGTCCTCTCCAATATTTTCTTCTACTGTTTCTTCTAGAAAAGAATCCAGAGAATACAGGATGACATATTCATAATCAACATAAATAGTATTATACCCTAGCTGGTTTGTCATGGGTTTTTACACTACATTTACCACATATTCACGTCAAGAATTCAAATACCAACAGTACACACGTACACAAGACATGGATGTTCTCTGACTAAATTAACAATGGAACATGTTGGGATTTTACCTATGGAGATCAGGTTCAAAAATGTCTCCTTCATCACATCTCTGTAGAGCTACTCTTGACATGAACCCAACAAAGCCCACTCTCCTGAGGTGAAGTTCACAGCCACATCCTCAAAGGCCACTTTTTCCTAAGGGTGCATAGATTAGGGTGGTTAGTTTTAACTGACAGACTGACAAATAGAGAATCATCTAGCATATAAATTCCTGAAAATATCTTAATTACCATGTGAATAGGAGTTACTGAAGAATATCTGTGGGATGCTATCTTGATTACTTGATGTAATAAAGGAGACACATTTTCTTAATTACTACTTAACTGCCCTTAGGAAACATCATAACCAAGCCACTATTATAAAAGAAAGCATTTGGAGGGACATTACTTAACACTTTTGGAGGGTTAGTCAATGATTTTCATGGTGAGAAGCAGACAGGCATAGAGCTGGAACATACTGAAAGCAATACACACTCCAACTTGAGAGGCAACATATTGTGAACTCTATAAGAGTTATGCTGGTAGAAAAGGCAACCTAAGACATACAACCTCACATTCCCTTTTCATGACTGTGTGCACTGTGACTAGCATCTTCACAGTTCTGCATTTTTGAACAGTACATACCCTTCAAGCATGATATGAAATAAACTCTTTCTGCCTACAGTCACTCTTCTGGCTTATTTATGACAGACAGATGAAAAGCCTAATAGAAACAATACATATAAAAGTTGAAAAGATGGCTCAGTGGATAAGAGCATTCACCCTTTGTGAAACTGATGTTAAACTCATGATCAACTTGTAATAGAATTATCCCCAGAGACTAGAGAGACCTAGTTAAAGTGGTCTGGGAGACTTATCTTCAATTATAATGGAAGACCTGGTGTAAAGATGGGGTTAAGACCATTGGACAACAAAGCAGGATGAGAGGGATGAAAATCTCCAAAGACCAACTTCTTGGAGAGAGAGATTGTGCTGATATACAAGGACAATCTCAATATGATGACCATATATGTCCTAGATTTATGCTACACAGCAGCTTTGAATATTTCGGATAGTATTTGAGGAGTAAGAAAGGAAAGTGAGCCATTAACTAAAGTAATATGGGGCCCAAAGGAAATTTTTACAGATTTCTTACAAAAACTGACTTCAGGAGAAAACATAACGATACACGATTCTGAAGCTAAACAAATAATAATTGAATCTCTGGCTTTTGAAAATGCTAATTCACAAAACAAAATTGTAACTATGCCATTAAGGGCATGATTAGCACTCTTGGAGGAATGGATCTGAGATACAATCAGTATTCAGTCTCATGGCCATGATGATGCATGGGTAGGAGAGGTGATTTCCAGAGGTTTGAAAAAAAAAAAATCGGTATGTCAAGTGTTTCAATTGTGGCAATCAGGGTCATTTAAAAAGGGTTTGTAAGCAGGGCATTTCTAGAAACAATGCCTTTTCTAAGCATAATTCAAACAGAATGCATCTCCCTTCTGGATTATGCAGAAGATATAGTCAAGACAGTCATTCTATAAGTCAAAGTAGATCAATAAGTGACAGTCAAGGTAACTGTATGCCACTGGCAAATGCCTTGAGGAGCCTCTTGCAGGCCATCATGCAAATTCTGTTCAGTAATTTCTTGTAACAGTGGATGAAACTCCTTCACAATGCAATTAAAGAACCTAATAACTCTTGTAAAACAACACAGTGCTCTGAATGATAGAAAAGCTATAGGGGAGAGAGCAAAATACTCAAGAGAAACCATGAAGCAAATATTTTGGCAAACTTCTATAAATGAACAAAGACCAAATTTAAAAATACAAATAAATGACATTGCCATTGAAGGCCATATAAATGCAGATGTCACAATAATTTCACCAGTATCTTGGCCTCAAAATGTAACTTTTCAAGAGGTAAATGTTCAACTTTTAGGGATTGGAACTATATCTCAAGTAAAACAGAGTTCAAGACAGATTAAATGCATAGAGCCAGAAGGACAGTAAGAAAATTAAAGCCTTATGTCTATGTATAATGAACTTATGGGGACATGATTTGTGGAAGAGTACAGATCATATCCGGGCAGGAGGGGGAGTGGCCCAACCTGAGGACTGTCCCACCAAAAGAAGGAGTGGCCCCAGAAGGAAGCAACAGAGGTGAGGCTTCAAGTGTTTACTAAGAAAAACAATTGGATTCCCAAGCAAAGACCAGATGAGGTCATCACACTTGCAGACCACACCTAGGAGGGGATAGAACACTAGATAGACAATAGGAATACATTTAAAATTACTGGGTAATACTTTTCCCTCCTTGTGTTTTTTTACTTTGACAGGGCTTTGTTGTTAAACAATAAAAGAGATCTTGCTTGACTTGACTCCCTGTTGGGTCTGATTGTCTCCGGGTTTCAGGGAGGCTGCTATACTGGCAAAAAGCGCATTCTACACACTCTGACCTCTAACCAAGGGGCCCCCAGAGACTCCAACACATGATTTGTTACATCAATGGAATACTCAGATTAACATTCCTCCAATCTCAAAAAACAAACCATAATTTACTGTATGTTTCTGGGGAAAATATTAGGTTATATAGAAATATTAGAATATTATAAAGAACAGTCACTGACCATTCAGGTTCTACAAAAATAGGGCACAACAGCTGCTAATCCTTCAAAGGCACCTACAGCCCTATCATAGAATGGTTGATAGACAAGCAAGTATAGGTAACTGTATTAACAACAGAGAAACTGCAGGCCTTCGAACAGAGTCAGTTAAATGCTGAACATACTGAAGAATAAACTAGCCCTTGAAATTCTCCTATATTTGCTAATAAAAAGAAATCTGAAAAAATGGAGAATGGTAACAGGTCAAGAACTGTTAATTAGGTGACTCGGGATATGGGCTCACTACAGTCTGGAATTCTTTTGCCTTCTTTATTATCTAAAGGGTGGCCTCTCATAGTTATTGATTTAAAAGATTATTTCCTTGCTATACCATTACCAGAAACAGTGAAAAATTTGTCTTCATGGTGCCTACTGATAATAATTCTCAGACTGCTAAGAGATGTCAATGGATGATTTTCTCACAAGAAAGTTAAATATCCCCACCCTGTGACAATATTTTAAGTCACCCATTGGATATAACACAAGAACTTTCCTCAATCTATAGTTTGCCAATATATGGACAATATTTTACTAGCTGACTCAAGTGTAGATAATTTAGAAACAATGTTTGAAGAGGTAAAGAAAAATCTGCCTTGCTAGGGATTCCAAATTGCTCCTGGAGAAATACAAAGAGGCGATTCTATTATTTATTAAGGATATAAATTAGTTCTACAGAAAACTAGACCTCAAAAGGTACAAATTAGGAGAGATCAATTGTTGACTCTTAGTGACTTTCAAAGATTTCGGGGAAAAGTTTCCCATCTACAGCACATTATTGTACTGATCAGCTGATTAAACCAAACTGGAGAAGGTGACAAGGACTTTAATAGTCCAAGGGAATTACCACCTGAAGCTCAGCGAGAATTGCTTCTGATGGAAAAGAAATTACAATATGCACATTTGGATCCTTTGGATCCAAAACTTGATTACATATTGGTTATTTTACCATCTAAGCATTCTTCCACAGCAATATTAATGTATTATATTATTGGTCTTCTTACATGCAATTATTTTACCTTTCAGCTGGAATTATCTAGTATACTGCTACTATCTGAAGGATCAAAAATTAATAAAAATTACAAAAACTTGGGCTCTAAAAGGAAAAAAAAGGGGGGGAGGACTCCTAATGGCTGGGAATACCATGGCTGGCGCCTGAGCACTGCTCCCAGAGAATCCATCACTCCTGTTAGCATTCCTTTGCTAACTGCTAGTTGTAAAGGTGCCCTGCTGGTTGTAAAGATTCCCCAGCCCAGGGGATAATTGACAGACCCTGTAAACCCCCCCCCCCCAAACCCCATGGCCTGTCTTAGCTCAGTCAAATGTATCTCCCTTAAAATGTATAGTTACTAACTGGTCCTGTACTTTGTATGACGTTAAATAACTATGGAAATTCTAAAATTTGTGACTTACATCCTTATGGTCTTTCCCTATAAAAACCCCTCTTAGTTATTGTTTGGGGCTTATCCCATTTACAACAGTAGAAGTCCAAGCTAGCCTGAAATAAAAGAAACCTTTTGCCTTGGCATCCCATGTGTTGTGTCCTTGGGGTGGCCTGTCTGGGTGCCGTGAATGTGGCATAACACTATCCCCTTCAAGTTCAGCAGGAATTTACAGTAAAATACAGAGAGAACTGTAAAACATTTATATTATTTTTATGCCACCTGAAAGTTTCAGTAACATAGCAGGATGAAATATGAACAATATTCAATAATTAATAACTCTGAACTATGAATAACATTGCCCTGTTCCAATAAAGATTAGGGTGAAACAGAAAAATCAGAGACAAAATGCCATCAGAGTAACATGAAAAGAATTACTTAGAAACAAGCCCAAGAAGTGGGTTAAAGACAGTGACAATGACAACCTAAATGGTAAAGAATTTGAATACTCATGTCCATGAATGGCCAGGAACAATATTGTACAAACATAATTGTATTTGGTAGAGTGCCTTCGTTGTAAACAGCATTCCTATGAGATTTCGGCCTGCATTGCTCAACCATTACGGCTCAGCCACAAGAGGGGTGTTTGCCAGGACAGCCTGTCTCCCTTGGACAATAACTTCAGGAAGAAGAGATGGCACACCAACACATAGCCCAGGAAGCTGCATCAACATACTCATTACCAAGCCCCTTCCAGAGCCCTACAAAGGGTCCTGGGCAGCTTGCTTGAATTGCACAGCAGGAAACTCGGTGTCATTTACTGTCTGTAGTAATCAGCAGTGTTGTCTGTTGAAATGAGACTCTGGTCTCTTTCTAGCCTTTTGTGTCTCCACTCTGCACCAGAAATTTAACACTACTGAAAATACTAATATACTTTTTCAACAAATAACTTCCTCCAGAAATAAAGAATTAAATAAAAATCAAGTAATACCTAATGCAATTTCTTAATATTAGAGGAACAGCCCAGTGTAAACCAAACAAACAAACAAACAATTCAATCCCAAACCCATGAGTCCCTTACAGGGATCACCAAGGACAAAGCAGACATAGCTTTGCAAAAGCCCAACTTTTACCTCAGAAATAGTCAGTGCAAAAGAACAACAAAAAAATAAAAGTATTCTCTTCCTCTGTGACTGTGAGTTTTGTTCCACTCTTACAGAGGGAACAACCCAGTCTTCTCCAATTATGATTTTTAAAAGGAAAACTATAGATAAAAAAACAGACACACATACACAAACACACACGTCCAACGATGAGGGGTTAGGAAGTCGAGGACTAAAGATAAAGCCGTGTTTAACTTATACCAGGTTTGGCTTTGGTGCCGTTCTAAGGAAAATATAAAATCACAGGGCAATGTCAGGAAAAATCTCCAGCAACACACATATACCTGAAGGGAAACCAGCAAGATGGGTCACCACCCAGGTCCCTTCACAGCACACACTGGGCTCAGTGTCACCAGTGTCACTGGGCTCAGTACTGCAACTTCTGCAGAGGCACAAGTTCCAGGTGCCTTTCACCCAAAGAAGAAAGTGGCCTGGGACAAACTGGTTTCCTGGGACATGGTCAATGGTCTAGTGAACAGCCTCCTGCTTTCAACACTTCCCAACACTTCCAGTGCTTGGGTAAGGACTGAGCCAGTGCAGGACACGAGGGCACACTAAGCGCCTCAGATGCAGAACATCAAGACTGCAACAGCATAGCCTCAGCAAAGTCACAAATACACAACACACAGTTCCAGGAGTCCAGGGCACACTCACCCTTTCCTGCTTCTGATGGGCGAAAGTGTCCTTCCTAAGAGCCTAAAATCAGCAGAAGGATATGTCTTACAGGACCAACACCACACACTTCAGTGTCTACACAGGATTCACACCCAATAGCAATGATGGGGCTTCCTGAATAGCTATGCACCTCAGTGGACATTTGATGAAGAGAAGGAACAGCATCCCTGACTCATGACAGAGATATAAGGCCTGGATATTCCTATTTCAAGATCCTTAAGCCAAAGCCAATATTGGGAGTAGAAGGAATCCCTAGTTCTGTCCAGAAACAGGACCAGAAGAAGGCCTGCTATGCAAACAAAAGAGTATGCGTGATGGAAAGTCATTACAGGCTTCAACCTAGCCATTTTCAAGACTCATTTATTAAAATATTATTTAGCAATTTCACGACACTTGGTAAAGCTTGACAGTAAAAGATTTTTAAATAAACTTAAGACTTTATTTCTTCATTAAAAATCATACATATCTAGTGGAAATTATGAATGTTAATATTTGGGGAATTTATAAGATTATTAACTACTAAGAGAACTCTGAAATCACAGGGCTAAGTTATTTTCTCAATCTTTACATTTTAGGAATCACAGGGACTAGAGGATGATCTCTGAGATAAGGACCTTGTTCATGATAATGAAATTGTACCATTGTATAGAAGCTATTATGTCCTGAAAACAAGGACATTTTAGATTTCTTGTAGACTCAGAGCTGAGATGATGATTAACCAGATAAGATATTGACTAATACTTTATCTAACTTCTATAAAGGGAACCTTTAATGACATACACAAGGAATTAAATGGCATTTAGGCCAACCTGGAAGTTTTAATTATAGGCTAATTGTACAATGAGAACAATATAAAAACAGAAGCACATGGAAACAATACATATTAGCATAGGTAAAATGAAGATCATTTTAAAGACACCGATACTTTATCAGTTTTCCATTTTAAACTAGGCTGTTGATTAGCTCTTAGACCATATTTTACTAGCATTACCAATCTAAAGTAGAAAACCATGGAGGGAAAAGACACAGAGCCTAAGCTGATTACTGGCAAGACTTTGTACAGGCTAAAGAGACTCTAAAAGCCTCGTATTTAAGTTCCTATTTTTCTTTAGTTTATACTGGACAATATCAGAACTTGGAAAACATGTCATTAAAGAGGAAGGCACAAATAGACAGGTCATCGAGTTTATCTTTTAATGTTATAAGTTAACATTCATCTTTGAAATACAAGATTTTAATACTTTAACAGGATAGTCAATTTATTAAGTTAGAATCTAATTTTTTATTAACTAAACACATCAGTTACAGAAGCAATAATTGCCAATGTTAAATGTTACCATGGTAGTTTTATAGAAGGTGAACGGATAAAGGCAAAAGAGAAAGGACAGTACTCTTATTGAGTAAGAGCTCACCTACACAAAAATATCCTACAGTAGTTGTATCAGAGTCTAAAGTCCCCAAAACAGTTACGAATGTGTGGGTCAAGACTCTAGGGAGAATGTAATAGCTCCTTGTAAAGACAAGTGATTTTAGCTGCTTTACTGTGCACAGACTTCTACTCTTGATTAGATCCAGGAGAAAAAATTTCATGAACCACAAAATTCATTGATAAAGAGAAATTTATACTAAAAGAAAGCTTAATTAAGATAAAGAAATAGAGTGGGAAGCCCCAAATGGAGGGGACTTCACTTGGGAAATTACAACTAAGCATTCTTCATACAGCACCACCATACTACATGGAATACTTATGCATTATCAATAATCATGTATGCACAAGCTTCATACAGCACCAGAATACTACACGGGAATACACATCATCACCAGTAAGCATGTATGCACAAGCTTACAATCCTCTGACTACATGTTTCTCCAGGGTTGAAGCAGCAGCAGCTGGAGGCATTCTCAGGCATAAACTTTTAAGCCTCAGGAACAATAGCAGCTAGCTCATTGCTAAGTGATGGGAAATAATGTTCCTGTCCCAGCAGGGAAAAACACTCCCAGACATTGCCAGATGTCAGGGTTGTGAAGTGCATTAACATGTCTCTATCTCAGTTAAAGCAAAAAACACGCCCGGTTCTCCATCCTGAGAACTGGCCAGGTTCTCAAAACAGAAAATAGGGGTCATCTACAATTCATGCCTTAGACTGCACAGGCTTAACACAAGCCTCTCCATTTTAAAATTACTTTCCTAGCAATCCTCCAGAAAGCCACACCTAGCTATAAAGTTATGAACAACTGATGGTGGCGGGGGTCTTTCCCTCTAGAATACGGCCACTAGTATGTTATTTCGGCGCAAGTCCGTGACCACACACACTGGACAGAACCATCAGAACTCAGAGGGTTATAAACAACCAAAACAAAAGACACATATAATTAAAAGACAGGTGTGCTGGGGGTGTAAGGGCTAGATTCAATTAAAACACATCACTTATGTTTAGGAAAGAGCCAATAATAAAATTACATTTTCAAGGGTTTGATTGGCTTTTTAGAAAGAAACAATACAATGATTGTCCAAGAGGCTAGGATATGGATGAGCAGGTAAAAAACTCGCCATGAAAGCCTGAAGACCTCACACCTTATGGAGTATGTGTGGAAAAGTGAATACTTCCCTTTAGAGGAGGTTTAAACTGCTGCAGCTCACAAGAAAACTAGTGTGAGCTTGCGTCACAAAGAGAAAAATAGAAATACTGCTTCCTCCAGCTATTCATTCTCTGAACTAATAGCCATAATGAAAAGAGCTCATACACTGCAAGAGACAGATGCACAGTCGGGATCTTTGCTTCTCTGGTCCCGCCAGCTATCAAGAGAATCAGCATGGATAGCCCTCAACCGGTTTTCAGAAAATGGAGATTCGGCACATGGGCACATTGGAATTCGACTCTGCAATGCAGAAACCTGAAATGAAATTTTCAAGCAAATGGATATAACTCAAGCCCACAAGGTCAAACTCTGTTTCTCGTTTGTGAGGATACTCTCATTGAACTCGTACCCATCTGTTCCAAAACTCAACTGAATGTTCGTAGAGACCATGGAGAAGAGAGGGTCCATGAGATTTGTGGGAAGGTGGAGTGTTTCCAGGATAGCAGAATGCATGTTGCAAGTAAGCAAAGTGGTAAATACACTAGGACATGAGAGGAAGAAAAAAAAAATACGAGCTCGGGAAAGAGAAAAGAAGTCAGAATATGATTTTTTTTTTTTTTTAAATACTGGAATGGCCTCAGTTACACAGTGTTTGCTGGGTCAGCCTACTGATAAGCAGTGCCCAAGTCTCTTTTAAAAAACAACAACAGCCGGTGGTTGGTGGTCCACACCTTTAATCCCAGCACTTGGGAGGCAGAGGCAAGTGGATCTCTGTGAGTTCGTAACCAGCCTGGTCTACAAGAGCTAGTTTCAGGACAGCCTCCAAAACCACAGAGAAACCTTGTCTCGGAAAACAAAACAAAACAAAACAAAAAAAACAGCAACAAAAAAGCAGGCATGGTGGTAGAAGCCTTTAATCCCAGAGGCCCAGAGGAAGGTGATCTTTGTGTCCACAGCTAGCCTGGTCAACAAAGCGAGTTCCGGGGCTACACATTGAAAACGGGTTGCCAAAACCAAAGAGGGAAATGACAATATGTTAAATAGTAAATATGAATTAAAAATAAATTAAAAATCAAAGAGAGAACTTCACCAGGATACAAGTTTAAGGGACAAGGGACTCAAGGCTGCCTGCCAGTGGCAAACTTCAAGACCACGTGGGCATTGGTACTGCTGGGCCAGACTGCACCAGGGAAAACTTTTGTTGATGGTCTCACTGCCACCGCCACCGCCACCGCCACCGCCACCGCCACCCGGTGTTCCAGGAGCCCAAGGCGCACTCACCATTTCTGCTTCTCCTGAGTCTAGCTGTCCTCCCAAAAATGCCTGCAGTCAGGAGAACACACAGCCGCCCAAAACAACTCCTCCTTATCCTAACACAGCAGGGAAGGAGGAGGATACAGTTTCCAGGAAGCGCACTATGAATATCCGTGCTCCTCATTGGACAGTTCATTCCTTTCAGTATTGCTGTTCCTGATTGACTCCGCCCTATCAGCCTACAGGATCAAAACATTTGGGGAAAGTTCAAAAAAGTCGCAGCGTAGTGACTGCACACTTGAGAAAGGCAAACGTCTATGAATTCAAAGCCATTCAGGGCTACACCATGAAACACAGAACCGGGCAGTGTGGCGGGCATTTTAATCACTCCAGTCCCGAGACCAAGGAGGAAGATCGCTAAACTGAGGCTCGCCTAGTTCAGAGAACTATTTCCAGGGCAGCCAATACTACACACAGAAAGCCTGTCTCGAAAACATCAAAACAAACAAACAAAATAAAAAACAACAGCAACAAAAAACAAATTTTGAAAAACAACATATTATCCTAGCACACTGGAATAAACATATTCTGTTTGGGGATTTCACTACATTGTAAAACAACCTGCTCTGAGAGTCTGAGTGCATTCGGCCCCTCCCTGGCATATTCACTGTTCCACATCTGCCTTTTCCACAACAATAGCGCTTTAAGTTTGCTTAAAGGGCTGTGGCACCTGGTGGACAAGTAACTGTCTACATACACACTTGAATGCCAGCTCTTGGAGCCATGAGCTGCCAGATCCCTGATTTCAAAACCACCTTGGAGTACAGAGCTGATTATGGCACAGCCATGACCACACAGAGAAACACGGTTTCAAAATCCAAAACAGTTCAGCCTAGCTAAATAGGTAATGGCACCTAATGGCTAAGGGGGCATGGAGAGGTATTTTTCTTCAGCAGTGTAGTCACTAGTAGGTTGCAAATGATTGAGAAGATGGCCATACGCATCTGAAAATCACTGAGTACAGTGAGTCATTAGAAAAAAGAGAGAAAGAAATAGAAATAGGCCCATGAAAAGAAGAGTCAGGTGTTGGGATCTAAGGCACAGATATGATTAACAAAAATCATTTAAGTGAAGGAAATCCCCAAAAATAAACATATATTTACAGTTTTCTTGGTCTTTAAATAAGAAAACAACAAAAATGTATATTAGCATGTCTAAGACAATGGAAAGCAGATCAAACACTTGCCATGTAAATTGCTGGGAACATGAAAGACTAAGCTTAGCAAGCTAATCAATGTGAGTTTGCCTCAGAGAGAGAAAATTGGAAATACCATCTCACCAAGATACAGCTCTCTGGACTTATACTGAAAACACTCCAAACACTACAACAAATATATGCATTCGTGGTCATTGCTGCTGTAGTCCCAATAGCTAGAAAAAGATTCAGCCTGGATCTCCATCAGTTGATGTCCATACAATGGAGATACAGCACATAAACTCAGTGAATTCCACTCAGCAAAGAAAAGTGGAATGAAATTTGAAGCAATGGAAATAACTGGAAATGTAAATATATTGAGTGGGGTAACCTAAGTCCACAAAGTCAAACACTGTCAGTTTCTCTTATACCTGATTCCATCTTTCTCCTCTTACCCAATTGTTTCAAAACCAGAGTGAGCAGGAGAACAGACGGAGGAGAAGAAAGGACCTATGAGACCTGTGGGTGCTGAGGATGGACACACAGGGACAGTGGGATGCAGGTGGAATGAGTAGAGAGGTGGATGTACTTAGGGATGGGATGCAGAGAATAGGAACGGGAAGAGAAGACGGGGGGGGGGGGGGATTATCAAGGTTCAAGGGTTCATCAACTCTACTTCAATTTCCAGGACACCCTAAACACATTCTTCCTTATACATAAAAAAAAAAAAAAATCCGGGTTTGGTCATGGGAGCCTCGAATCCTAGAATTCAAGAGGCAAAGGACAGTGATATCTGAGTCCAAGGCTAGCATACTAAATACATCAAAACACAAGGCTACATGAGAAAAAATGTCTCCAAAACAATAAAAATGTAACAATTTAAAATTACATGCGCATTATTATAAAATAACTACACATAGGAGCAATAAATTCAGTAAGAACGTATTGTATACTCATATCCATTTCAAATCAAAAATGTAGAAGGTACACTTAATTTTCCCAAGTTTTCAAAATGATTAGAAATTACAAACCAGCTATCAAACATTAGGGTAAGACAGGTAATGTTAGCATTTTTCCAAAAAATTAGAGTTTATCCAACTGACAATCCCAATCCCTTCTGCTTAAAGCAGCCTACAACCTGCCAAACCGCAGAAAGAAGTATATTACCATTCCATGAATCCATTTAACACTCTCTAGGCCTTTTCACATTCAGCAAAGTTACAAATGGTCACCAAATTTTCAAATTCTCATCACTCCTACCCACACTTACACAAAATCACTGCAAATAAATAAAATGTGAAGCAAATTAAATATGTCTTCCTTCAGACTGGTTATTTTGAGGAATTGCAGAATAATCATTAGAAAAATCAATTGTACATATCCCTTGACCATAAGGAAAAGATAGGGAGGAAGGAAGGGGGGAGAAAGGGAGGGAGAGATAGAGGGAAGAAGGGAGGGAGGAGATACTACATCCTTATGTTCTTGATGCTATCATAGTGATATACAGTGGCCTCGGTGTCCGGCACTGGCATCATCCTTCCCAAACACTGGAATGTTTGCAAAGCAGTCAGCTGTGCACAAGGCCTGTTTCCCTATTCTGTGCCAGGGAAACTACTTTCTCAAGGGTGAAGAGGCACCTAGAACCTGCACCTGTGCTGAACCTGCAGTACTGCCAGGTTGGTGACACTGAGCGCAGACTGTGGAGTGAAGGGACCTGTGTGGACTCATGTCTCACTGGCCACCTTTAAAGATATGTCTGTGCTACTTTAGACTTTTTCCTGTCACCACCTGTAGTATTTCATACCTTTCTTAATATGGTAAAGGTACCCTAAGCCAGGCCTAGCAATAGTAAACAAAGGCTTTTTCATTAGGCTACACCCCTCAATTCCCAACCCTCATCATGTATGTCTTTCTGTGTGTGTAATGGGGTTTTCTCCCCATTTTTAAATCGATATGGGAGAGGACTGGATTGTTCCTTCTGTAAGAGTGGGTTAAAATCCTCAGTCACAAAGAGAACAGTTGGATGGTTTTTTGCACTGACCATTTCTGATGTAAAAGTTGCAGTTTTTGAAAAGCTTTGCAAGACTTTCCCTTGGTAATCCCTGTGAAGAGGATCATGGCCCTAGAACGATTGTTGCTTGTTTGGTGGTTTACTCTAGGCTGCTTCTTTAAGTAGAAAAAAAAATTGCATAAAGGAGTACTTATGCAGTACTTAATCTGTTTTTTTCTTTTCTGATGAACTGCTTTAGAGAAAAAAAATCAGTATTTTTAATAGTGTTAGAAGCCAGGGATACCCTGTGACCTGAGAGAGCCTGTTTAGTAGGGGTTTGTGTAGGAAATGGGAGGTAAATAGTCCATATGATGGTGATTACTCCACCATTAGAGAGAACAGGCTATGGTAGCATATGTCACACACACACACACACACACACACACACACACACACACACACAAACAAATGACAGGGTCCTTGATCCATCAACTGTACACACCATGTTAGTCTAGAAAGCTGAGTCATCAGGAAAAGTCACAAGATGTAAATGCACAGAACAGAGAATGAAAGTTGCTCAAGTCAGACAGTGACTAAACTGTTTCTCTTACTCCAAGAATGGTTTCATTTACCATTGCAGTGACCCAGTTATCCTAACATGTGCTGACCCCTACTGACTCTTTAACTGTTTGATGTTTGGGAGGCAGAAGAAATCTTAAAGAGAAACGGAATCCTCATTCAAAAGCTGAGGTGTAAAGTCTGCCATCAGGGGCTTACACTGTGGAGCTGGTGGAGAGCAGTTGAGTCTGGGAAGGGCAGCTTGGTGTCCTCCAGGCTGCAGTTCCAGACCAGAGCCATTCTCCACCACACTTCCAACAGAATTCAGGTGGCAATGAACAATACAGCTTGCAACATTTCTTGTAATTTCTTCCCGCAATCAACATGTCTTCCTTTTCTCCCCATATGTGCTCTATCTACAAACTCACACAGAGGTGAGAATAAAGGGAGGCAGAGAAATTGGTAACAGGAAAAAACTGGGTTGATGGGGAATGTTTTTCGGTGTGTATGTTTCTCTTATTGGTCTGTGAATAAAACACTGATTGTCTGATTGGCCAGACAGGAAGTGACATAGCTGGGCAGAATCTGGATATAAGCAGGGACAAGCATCATTGAAGGAATCCATGGCAAGAATCTTATTACTGGCTCTGGATAATTACCATTTTTAGAAAAGCAGGCCCCCCTGGGAAGTGATGGTGGCACCCATTCTGGATGAGGTCCTTCCAAATCCATTAAAAGTATCCCTCACAGACATGGCCACAGGCCCATCTGAAAAACAGAGATCATAAACTGGATGGAGTTCTCTCTTCCAAAGTGAGGTTAGTTTGAGGCAAGTTGGCTTTAAAAATTAGTCAGCACATCATGACAGCAAACACATTGTGTTCCCTAAGTATAGAGGAAGCACTGAATGCCTTCAACCTGTAATACCATGCTGTTGTTTGGGTGTATATGATTTTAGATTTGACCATTCTATTGGATAACCAATTAAGGGACTCATACCTGATGGATAGTAATTTCTTTCTTAATAGTATTCTACATTTCTTTTTCTAAGGGTGGGACCTCATGAGATCTAGTACTTACCAAAGTTAGTATTGCCATTGTAATAATCTCTGCAGGCATATTGTCCACATATTACATTTATTCCTTCTTTATTATACCAGACATCCTGGTAGTCTCATTCTTATAGTCATGCCACTGTTCCAGGATGTTCCCTCAGATTTAGATTCAGTTATCGTCCTATAGCTTTAGTAAGTGGGCCTGGGATCCAACCATCAGTTAATCTCTATATCATGAACAAATGTGTCTTCCTGGGATTGTGTGATTGCTCCAAAGAAATTAAAATAAAGGTGTGGGCTATATTTCCGTGAGTATAACGATGGTTAAGAACTCAGGAATTACAACAGCCTAGTAAATTGGCAGTGGCAGGCTCTCTAAAATCAAGGATCTGACAATCCTGATTCATTGATTATGGTTTACTTCCAGGCATGTCATCCCTCCTGTTGGGTGGGCCTTGCATCCAATTATACACTTGCTGGCTACCAAAAGACTTGGATGACATTAAAGAACCTATACTGGTATCTTGCCAGGTTAATCACTATTTAGGTTCATAGTGTTGTTTACTTCCATTGGGTGTAATGAGACTCCCTAAGCAATTCAACTTTTGAAAGATACAATTCTAAATACCCATGGCTTCATAGGTTAGAGCCCATGATTATCATGACATGTAACATGGCCAAAGACAGGAAAGCAAGGACATTAATGGGAGAGAGGAAAGAGCTTACATAATGATCTGAATGCTGGAGATGGGGAAAAAGAAAGAACTGGCAACACTGTCAATACTGAAACCTCAAAGCATCCCCAGTAACTAACCCTTTCCAACTAGGCCACATCTAATCCTCCACAACTTTTCCACCAACTGGCAAACAAGCATTCAAATATAGAAGCAAATGGGGCCATTCTCATTAAAACTACTACAGATCTCACAGCTTGGGAAGTCTATGGACTGATTCTTTCACTTGGCAACTTGCGCTGAATCTAATATTAGGGCAGTTAGACTAAATGAAGGTGGTTTCTGAGTTATGTCCAGCTCAACTTTTCCAAGTGTTGCATCCAAATTGTGCAATGGTTCCAGCAACTACGACTTACCTTCAGCCTCTCTGAGTTGATCAAAGGATAGAATAGGACCCTTAATTATTTGGCGAATTATATTGACCGCCACAACTCAAATGCAGACTTCTCATGCTTTATACTGCTATTTTTATTAATGTACAGTATTGGGGGTTGGAGCTGCCCAACTAAGTGACATAGCTACATTTAATATACACACTCATAGATATATATATTGGGTGCATATATCGGTGAGTATGCACATAATCTATGTTCATGCCTACATTAGATATTATGTAAGTATATATATATATGATTAAAATGAATTACATATTATAATTGGTATTATATATAATACACTTTGGATGATTTAAAAGTTTTGGGTTTTACACAATAAACACTTCTTTTTTGCTTTTTCGAGACAGGGTTTCTCTGTTGCTTTGGATGCTGTACTGGAAACTAGCTCTTGTAGACCAGGCTGGTCTCGAACTCACAGAGATCCACCTGCTTCTGCCTCCCAGGTGCTGGGATTAAAGGTGTGCACCACCACCGCCTGGCCTACAATAAACACTTCTTAACCATTGCCAAACATAGCTATTTCTTCCCTCTTCCTCTCTGGTACTGAGTGTCTTCATTTCATCCCTAATTAGACATCTGCACCTCTACAATTTTCACATCTGCTCCTCTGAAGGCCCTTACAGCTAGTCCCCTCTCTAGCCTATTCCCCCAATTACCGATGCAACATTCTTCAGGACCACAGGAAAATTACACTGGAAATGGTAGATGGATTAATCGGGGGAAACAAGTACATTAACCCAGACTCAGAAAGACATTTGCAGGTCTCCACTCCAAAATTTCAGATGTGAGAAGATAGCCCGAAGTAACCACAGAAACCATGTCTTGTCTTCCTAGCAAATACAGAAGGCAAAGTAAATCTCCTGTACAGGAATGGGTCTATATAAATATGCTCAAAGTTTGAATGTACTTCTTTCAAACTGTTTCTAAAATATTTGGAATAAATTCCAGAAAGTATTTAATTTATTGCTGACATGAGATCCAAGTAAATGAAAAATTTTCACAAATTTTCTCTCATTCAGAATGACACAGCGAGCTGGAGAGATGGCTCACAGGTTAAAAGACCTTTTTCTTCCAGAGATCTTGACTTCAATTGCCAACAATCACATGGTGGCTCCCAACCATGAGATCTGGTGCCCTCTTCTGGTATGCAGGCTTACATACAGGCAGAGCACTGTACACATAATATGTAAATAATACTTTGAAGAAAATAAAAACCAGCCTTTTCAATGCTTTGAAAAGAAAATTTCTTTGGACTGGATCTGGTTCCTCTGAAAGCCCCCAGGTGTTTATGGGTTTCTTTTCTATAGCTGCAACAAAACACAGTGAGCAAAGCAATGTTTAAATGGATGTGTTAAATTGGTCTTATATACTCTTTTACAGAGGGTTGGAGCATGTGATGGTAGAGCAAACTCTGTGCTGCCTGAAAAACTAGAAGCTCGTATGATAATCTACGAACAGGAAGCACAGAGAATATACTATGAACATTAGTGTTTTTCCAAATCTCAAACTGGCCTAGAGGGACCTATATTCACCAGAAGGCCATAGCTCTTATTAATCCTCAATCTGTCCACCAATGAAACCAAGTTTCAAAAAGCCTACTGGACCATTCGCAAGTGGAACATTGCTAAAACTGTTTTCAAAGCTACCAACCTAGACAAAGTAAAGACCAAAGAATGAACAAAAAACAGCCAAACAAGAAACCAAATTATTGCATATACTGTAATAATTTTAATCCTTCATAAATCCTTCCTAAAAAAGTGGGTCTAACAATGTTTCTTTCCACATTAAAATATCACACTTGTTAATTAAGTCTCCACTCCCACAACATATTATTTACTCATTTGTAATGCTGTGTGTAAATTCATTTGGAAGTGTGTATGTGACTGTCAGAAGACCTCTTTCAGGAATTGTTTCTCTACTTCTACCACATAAGATCCAAGAGGGAAATGAGACAATCATGTTTTCTGGCATTAAACCATTACTAGCTGATGCATCTCACGGTCCAATCACATTCATCTTTCATACCTCACAATACCAGCAATTTGACCAATGCAGTGTCATACAGTTAATGGTGGGGCAATTTCTACACACTACACTTTTAACTGTGAGATCATTATCCAGGAATGGGGGACACACAAAATCGGGGATACTTAGCTGAAAATGACAACAACTTCAAACTTAATTTATTTTAAACACTTTGAAGATTTTCCCACATTTATTCCAAAGGCTTTCACCAGTGGAAAAAAACTGCTCAGTGTAATAGGAACTATTGCTGCTAAAGCATTTTCCAAATGGATACCCAAGTCTATAGGATGGATTCTTGAGAACATAATGGAAATAGGAACTGGTGAAGCCTTTGGCAAAAACTTCGATGCATACTTGCATTAAACTTCCTCCCAATGTAAATTCTTGCATTGGGGTTACAGAAACTTGAAGTTCCCAAGGCTTTTCTATAATGTTGACATTGAAACAATTGCTCACGAGTGTGAGGTCTTTTATCCTTGATAAAAATCAAAAGAACATAGAAACTGTTTCCCACATTCTTACAAAGAAAGGCTATCTCTCCAGTGTGAATGTTTTTAGTACTCTTGTGCCAATTGGAACTATGGAAGGCTTTCCCAAATGCAACGAAACATTAGGCTAGTGACTAGAGTTAAGTATTTAATGTCTTCTAGTATCACCAGAGTGCCTGAAAGCTTTTCTACAATGCTTAAAAGCATAAGGCTTCTCTCCAGAGTGATACGTTCCTTGTCTGTGGTGACTACTGGAGTCATGATTGCTTTTCCAAAATGCTTACATGGACAATGCCTCTCTTTTGAGTGAACTTTTTCATACTTGTAGAGATCACTAGACTGAAAGAACAGTTTCCCACAAACATTGTTTTTCTCCAGTGACAAATGTTATTCAAGTAAGGATGTAAAAGTGGTAAATGTTTTTAAGTAACGTTTGCATACATAACACTTCTATCTAGTGTGAGTCCTTTCATGATCCTTAAGACAACTGGACTGACTGAAGACTTTTCCAAATACTTACATGCATACGTTTCTCTCCAGTGTACATTCTTTCATGTTTCTCATGACTACTGGAGTCACTGAAGGGTTTTCCACAATGCCTGTATGAATAAGGCTTCTCTTCAGCGTGAGTCCTTTCATGATACCTATGACCATTGAACTGGCTGAAGGCTTTCCCACAATGCCTGAATACATAAAGCATCAATCCAGGGTCAATCCTTGCATGATTCTTATGAGTACTGGAGGTCCTGAAGGCTTTTCTTCAATAGTTACATGCATAAGGTTCTCGGCACTGTGATTTCTTTCATGTTTCTTGTGACTAGTGGAGTCACTGAAAGGTTTTCCACAATACTTACATGCATAAGGCTTCTCTCCAGTGTGCTTTGTTTCATTTTTGTGACTAATGAAGTGCCTAAATGCTTTCCCACAGTGCTTACATGCTTAAGGCTTCTCTCCATTGTGAATCCTTTCATGTCTCTTCAGACTACTGGAGGTGGTAAATGATTTGCCACAATGTCTACAACCATAAGGCTTCTCTCCACTGTGAACTCTTTCATGTATGTTCAGAAGACTGGAAGTGATAAAGCCTTTCCCACAATGTCTACAAGCATAAGGCTTCTCTCCACTATGAATCCTTTCATGATTCTTATGACTACTGAAGTATCTAAAGGCTTTTCCACAATGCTTACAAGTATAAGGCTTCTCTCCATTGTGAATCCTTTCATGTGTATTCAGGAGACTGGAGGTGGTAAAAGCTTTTCCACAATGTTTACAGGCATATGGCTTCTCTCCACTGTGAATCCTTTCATGAGTATTCAGAACACTGGAGTAGTTAAAAGCTTTTCCACAATGCCTACAAGCATAAGGTTTTTCTCCACTGTGAATCCTTAGATGTCTCTTATGACTACTGGAATCACTGAATGATTTCCCACAATGCTTGCATGCATAAGGCTTCTCTCCACTATGAATCCTTTCATGATTCATATGACTACTGAAGTGTTTAAAGGCTTTTCCACAGTGTCTACAAGCATAAGGCTTCTCTCCAGTGTGAATCCTTTCGTGTCTGTTAAGAAGACTGGAATAGTTAAAGGCTTTCCCACAATGCCTACAAGCATAAGGCTTCTCTACACTGTGAATCCTTTGATGTCTCTTATGACTACTGAAGTCACTGAAGGATTTCCCACAATGCTTACAATCATAAGGCTTCTCTCCACTGTGAATCCTTTCATGTATGTTGAGATGACTGGAGCACTTAAATGTTTTTCCACAATGTCTACAAACATAAAGCTTCTGACCAGTGTGAATCTTTTCATGTCTGTGTAGATGACTAGAGCATGTAAAGGTTTTTTGACAATCCTTACAAGCATAAGGCTTCTCTTTTGTATGAGTTACTTTATGCTTCTCAAAACATTTTGCATTTTTAAATGTTTTCCCACAGTGCTTACAAGAGTACCTTTTCTGTGAAATATGACTTTTTTCATGGTTGTAAAGGTCACTGGACTCAATGAAGGCTTCTTCACAGAGCTTACATACAAACTCTTTCACTTCTTTATGGATTCCTTCATTGTTCTGAACAAATGTGTATCCCGTCAAGTCATTTTCATGGAGTGTAACTCCAGGGTGAGCTCTCTCCTGAGGCTGATCCAAACTGAGACTCCTGCAAGCTTCATTATATTCTTGACTTTCACAGGGTTTCTTCTTGGGAGAAGTTTCAAGTACCTGAAGTGATTCAGAATAATGGGTATCTTTCCAATGTTCCTGATGTGTAAAAGCTTTAGTCATAGCTTTCTTCCATGCAGATGGTATCCCTGTAGTTTGCTCTCTGAGATACCCATGTGAGGATAAATGAACAAGGATGTTTCTTATATGCAATGGGCTTTGACATACTCTTTCTCCAGGAGGCATGCCTGTGTTGATGACATTCTCTGTAATAGGTTCCTGGGTCTTATCACATTCATGGACACATGCATATCCACAGTCTTTCTCAATCACTTGAATTCTGCAAAAAATGAGAAGAGAATTATTATAGGCAAGGGAAATGTTGGAGGCGGGCTTGTGTGGACCACTGAAATGACACTTTCTCAGAGGCAACAGAAAACACAGTCACTGTGAAGGAAAATGTGTACCACATGTAAAGACCCTGTCATCTGTAAAGAAATAGAGTGTGGTCTTTACTTCTATTTGAATTATGAAGGAGTTGTATCACAGATTTGGAGGTTAAAATAATTTTGCTCCTCAGTAGTCCAGATTTTGATGACCAGCACTCATGTGAAGAGCATGCCAGTTCCTGCTGTTACTCAGGGTCTGAAGGATCTTTTGCTTTCTTCTGCATTTACTAAAGTTCTTATCACAAGACTGGTAATACTAACATAGATACACATATACAGGTAAAGCACAATTAATATGTATAAGGACTGAAAATGAAGGCAAAACATCTGCTGTTAGGAGACAATCATTACAATCAAATAAAGTGGTGAAACACTGTGGCATTTTGACATGCAGAATTCTAAGACAGTTTGGTTCCTTAGTTATCAACTACAGGCATCTAGGGCCATCAGAGAATGGGTTCCTCAGAGGTGAAAATGACTCAGATTGGCTTGTAAATGAGTCTGAGGGAGCATTTTACATTCCTGATTGATGAAAGATGTTCACACTCTGATGTGCATTTTGGCCATGGGCAAAGGGGCACGAGCTGTGTAGGAAAGGGATCTGCTGGTTACTTTGGTCAAGGTGACACAAACGGGGACACACATCTGAAGAGGGAACCAGAAAAGAATCGATGGCTTTTTCAGGTGACATTAGGCTTGTCTGTGATGGCATTTTCTTGATCTGTGATTGAGAAGGTATACCTCAGCCCACTGTGTGTGGTATAAACCTAGACAAGTGGACACGGGTTGTATAAGGCAGGTAGATGAGTAAGAGATGAGGAGCACACCGGTAAACAGCATTTCTGCATCTCCTCTGTTTCCATTTCTGCCTACAAGTTCTTGTACAGCTTGAGTTCCTGCCCTGACTTCCCTTGATGATGAGACTGTCACAAGGATATAGAAGTAAAAATGAGCTCCAACCCAGAATGCTTATTTTTTCTTTATTGTCATAGTAGATGAAAGGATAAAATCACAGGACTTATGAACAAACCTCAAAATAGTGCATAGAAAGACAGCAAATAATTTTGACGTTTGTATGTAGTAAACCACTGATAAAGATCCTTCTGAGGATAATGTAACATGACACATGTGTGATCATAATATGTCACAAAGTTGAGACACTCAAATATTGAATGGCACAATTCGATGCTCTATTACAGAAATGTGGGTAGAGGTTATAATTCACTTAGTTTTCTTTAGACATTTTGATAGGCACTCAGTAGTCCTATGATTTGCAAATATGTGAAATCAATTCTTTTCTTTTGAATATCAATTACCGTGAATTTCTGCTGAAGTCTTTGCAGTCCTCTCCAATTTTTTCTTCTACTGCTTTTTCTAGAAGAAAATCCAGAGAAAACTGTATGACATATTCATGATCTACATAAATGGTATTATACCCTAGCTGCTTTGACATGGGTTTTCACACTATATTACCAAATATTCACTTCAAGAATTCAAATACCAACAGTACACACAAACACAAGACATGGCTAAATTAACAATGGGAACATGTTGGGATTTTACCTATGGAGATCAGGTTCAAAAATGTCTCCTTCATCACATCTCTGTAGAGCTTCTTTTGAAATGAATTCAACAAAGCCCATTCTCCTGAGTTGAAGTTCACAGCCACATCCTCAAAGGCCACTTTCTCCTAAGGGTGCACATATAAGGGTGGTTAGTTTTAACTGACAGACTGACGAATAAACAATCATCTAGCATATAAATTTCTGAAAATACCTCCTAATTATCATGTGAAGAGCAGTAACTGAAGAATATCTATGGGATGCTATCTTCACTACTTGATGTAATAAAGGAGCCCCACTGTCTCAATTACTACTCAACTGCCCTTAGGAAACATCATGATCAAGCAACTACTATAAAAGAAAGCATCTTGGGGGACATCACTTACACTTAGAGGGTTAGTCAGTGATTTTCACGGTGGGAAGCAGGCAGGCATACAGCTGGAACATAGTCAAAGCAATATATGTTCCAACTTGAGAGCAATATTTTGTGAACTCTATAAGAGCTACTATAGAGGAAAAGGAAACCTAAGACAATCACACATTATTCTCTTCATGATTGTGTGCACTGTGACTAGCAGCTTCACAGTTCTGCATTTTTGAACAGTACATACCCTTCAAGAATGATCTGAAATAAACGCCTTCTGACTACAGTCACTCTTCTGGGTCATTTTTGACAGCCACATAAAAAGACTAATAGAAGCAATGTATATAAAGGCTGAAGAGATGGCTCAATGGTTAAGAACATTCAGCCTTTGTGAAGAAAATGTTAAACTCATGATCAACTTGTAATAGAATTATCCCAAGAAATTAGAGAGATTTTCTTAAAGCTGTCAGGGAGATTTGTTTTCAATTACACTGGAAGTCATGGTGGAAAGAAGAGGTTAAGACCATTGAATAATTTGAGAAGTAGGAAAGGAAATTGAGTCATTAGTAAAGTGATGTGGCGCCCAAAGGAAGCTTTTACAAATTTTTCACAAAGCCTGTCTTTAAGAGAAAACAGAATGATACAAGATTCCAAAGCTAAATAAATATTAACTGAATCTCTGGCTTTTGAAAATGCTAATTCATAATGCAAAAGGGTAATTATGCCACTACCAGCATGATTAGCACCCTTGGAGGAATGGATCTGAGATACAATCAAATATTCAATCTCATGCCATGATGCATAGGTAGGAGAGATGATTTCCAAATGTTTGAAGAGAAATCAGAATGTCAAGTGTTTCAATTGTGGCAATCAGGGTCACTTAAAAAGGGTTTGTAAGCAAGGCATTTCTAGAAACAATGGCTTTTCTAAGCATAATTCAAACAGAAAGCCTCTCCCTTCTGGATTATGCAGAAGGTGGTACAAAGGCAGGCACTGTACAAGTGAATATAGGTCAACAAGTGACAGTCAAGGTAACCGTATGCCATTGGGAAATTTCGTGAGGGGCCTCTTGCAGGCCATCATGCAAATTCTGTTCTGTAATTTCTTGTAACAGTGGTTGAAACTCCTTCACAAAGCAATTAAAGAACATAATACCTATTATGAGAAACCACAGTGCTCTGGATGATAGAAAAGCTATGGAGGAAAGAACAAAATACTCAGGAGAAACCATAAAGCAACTATTTTAGCAAACTACTAAAAATGAACAAAGACTAAAATTAAAGGACAAATAACTGACATTGTCATTAAAGCCTTATAGATATAGACGTCACAATTTCCCCAGTATCTTGGCATCAAAATGCACCTTTTCAAGAGGTGCATGTTCAACTTCTAGGCATTGTAACTTTTTTCAAGTAAAACAGAGTGCAAGGCAGATTGAATGGAGACAGCTACATCTTCCCTTACTTGACAATTAACCCAAAGATTCCTTCTCAGGATCCCTCTAAAGATGTGGCTAACTCCAGACAGCAAGAAGTAATTTTAAGTATACCACATCCACATTCCCAGGAGGTGGGGTGGGTTGTTTTTGGTCATTTAATGAGTTATGGATATTTGTATTTACTTCGGGCTGTTGGTTATAAACTGTTATTGATAACTGTCAGAAAAACAAAAGTTGAAAAGGAAGATAAGATTCAGAGTTCTTGTTTTGAAAAGAAAAAATCTGGATATATGAATTATAGGCTATGAGTAGATTATTAAATCTAGTCTAAAAGAGGGGCGTATACAAATATAAAAAACCTAATCTTCTTTTAAACTATAAGAGTAACTATTAAGTTTAAATATTTTACATTGGCTTGAATTATTTGTATATTGATACAAAATAGAGATTACTTTTGTAAGAACATCCTACATGCATTTCTAATACTGTTCATGGTATTATACCTATGCAACTCCTTTAAAAATTTCCTGCAAATTTTAGGCTTTGAAAGTTGCTATTACCAAATATTTAGGATATTAAGCAAATACAGGATAGGAATTATTCACCTATTTCAACAAAACATGCAGTCACAATAAATATGTTTTTAAGGTCATAAGAGATATTTTTAGATACAGGTCATCTATAAACACTTCAAAGATCAATAGAATATGGCACTTAGGGTATTTTAATAGCATATTCTTTTCTTTTTTATGACAATGAGACATGTCTATCCCTGGTAGCACCAATCTACTTCAGAAAAGAGGATGAAGAGAAATTCCACATAGAACTTACTTTCTTGGTTGCAAAGGTTAGCCACTGGGAAATAAAATGTGCATCTCTCAACTGCTGACAGTTTGCTGCACAAATTAGACAAGCAGGACACAAACTAAAGGAATGCCAAATTATGCCAAGACAGGTAGGACAACCCTTAAGAATATTCTGCTTCACAGAAAAGTCTGTCAGATATGCTAGGCCTTTAGACTGATAATGGATGCCTAGCACTGCAGAAGATACTTCGGTGACCGACCAGGCAGTGCGCTGTTTCTGTCATTACTCACATTGTTAGGAAGTAGCTTGTCTGCACTTCTGGCTTACTCAAGAAATTTTAATTTCTCCATTGGTCTGGGATGGATTTGAAGACTATATACTTATAGTTATATTTTCCTTGTTACCAGATTCAAAAAACAGGTAAAATGTATATAATTCACAGACAGAAAATGTTAGTTTGGGTAACACAAGTACTAATTAAGTAATCCCTCATGCAATTTCTTCTAAATGGAGGAACAGCCCAGTGTAAACCAAACAAACAAACAATTCAATCCCAAGCCCAAGATCCCCTTAACAGGGATCACCAAGGGCAAAACTGACATAGCTTTGCAAAAATCCCAACTTTTACCTCAGAAATAGTCAGTGCAAAAAAACAAAACAAAAACAAAACCACATTCTCTTCCTCTGTGACTGTTAAGTTTTGTTCCACTCTTACAGAGGGAACAACACAGTCTTCTCCATCATTTGTAAAAGGAGAGACTACAGATACAAACACAAGCACACATACAAAAACACACACTCCTAACAATGAGGGGTTAGGAAGTGGAGGACTAAAGATAAAGCCGTGTTTAACTTATACCAGGTTTGGCTTTGGTTCCATTCTAAGGAAAATATAAAATCACAGGGTACTGTCAGGAAAAATCTCCAGCAACACACATATACCTGAAGGGAAACCAGCAAGATGGGTCACCACCCAGGTCCCTTCACAGCACACACTGGGCTCAGTGTCACCAGTGTCACTGGGCTCAGTACTGCAACTTCTGCAGAGGCACAAGTTCCAGGTGCCTTT